AAAAAATTGACCCGAGTACACCGAGGGATTTGCTGGAACTCCTCTCTCTAGTGCAAATTGTACTTGCGCTTCGTGGTTATCACGTGGCGCATAGTCAAGACCACCTTCTTAAAGCATATATGCATAGTCAAGACATATATATGCACAAATGAAGTGAGCTCACATGCAAGATTCACAAAATGAACGGAATAAGAAGCATTGCAATCTGTTCTTTACAAATGCAAGATTCACAAAATGAATAGTGAGAGATTATTTGTTTTGGTTCTGCTTGAGCCTTTAGTTCTTTCACATTGACAGATAAGACATTAAAAATTTGAACACATGTTAATTCACAACATATATATCGTCCCAAAATCGATTATATTAATTTTTGTGTAGATAAAAACACATGTTAATAACACATTAATACTCAACAAGACCAACCCATATGTATAGTTAGAAATTTATTCTGATATTTTTGTATCTAGTAATCTCTTATTATTATGGTGGATCTGTGGACACTTGACTCGCACTCTAACTTCGCTATATGAAGGAAACCGGAAACGTATCGTACCAATCTATTGACAAGAATACAAACAAGCCCCATCAAGTAAGCTTTCAACATTACTAAGTCACTATTCTTCATCTATTACATAATTCAACCATCACCATGAACTTACAAAAACAAAAAAGTTTCGACAATGCTTCTTGAGTTCTTGGATATTTTAACATTACCTGAAGAATCACACCAAGCTTCTATGTACTTCTCTCGTAAGTGTACTAAGAAGTTGTCTCTGCAACAAAACCAGATAAAGATAAATATTAAAAGAACAATGTCTATTCGGCTCAATAGAAAAGGTTTTCAGATTCTTACCGGCAATTCTTCTGTTGTAATTTTCTTGCAAGAGTGTGCTTGAGTCAATAATTTGTCTAACTTTCTTCTGCGTCTCTCGTCGTTTCTTCAACTTAGATAAACTAAGTGAACCTTCAACTGAATCATTGATAAGGAAACAACTTCAATAAATGCAAATAGAAATCGACGAGTGAAAGAGGGTAAAGAATTCCACTTTCTAACCTTGCCATTCCCATACAACTTTTTGTTCACCCTTTACAACTTTGTTGTATCGATCTATACGTGAATCCTCCTTTATTAACTCCTCAACCTATAAAGTAACCAAGCATATAAAGAGCCATCTCATGCATCAAAATGAGAATTGGTTGAAGAATTGGTTGAAGAATAGCATACCTTACTCCATAACCGAGGATCTCTTCTTTCTCTAGGCAAAAGTAGATGATCTCGTAACCGAGAAGCGATAACCCAGGGCTCGCAGTTAGTACTGTCTGCAGAATTTGATGCCACTGCATTCTCTTCCAGGAAGTCACAGACCTAATGAATCAATTCAAAACAAAAGCCCGTTTTGTATTTAGACACAAAGACAAGGATAATCGCCTGATCAAGATGATGTATGAATAAAGGTGTACCTGGTCATATAATTCTTCAACTCTACGTGAAAAATATCGCTTGCGCTGAATTTTCCTGAGCAATATTGTGCATCCCACAAGCTGTACATCTCAACACTGTAAACAAGCTTGAAGATGGTGATCAAGTAAACTAAACCACACGAAGACTGGTCTTTTCTAAGAGTAGAATACCACTGCACATGAGGACGAGACAATGAAGATGTGCTGCAAAAGCCATTGATGTATGCGACAAGTCACAGGTTTGTAACTTTCCATTAGCGATTCAGGGCATTTCAACTCATTAATCCTTCAAATAAATCGAAGATTAAGTAAGAATCTTTACCAATAAAACAACTTCAATAGTTAGTCCTAAAACCAGCGGTGAAAATTTGAAAACACTAACCCATTAGAATTAGTCCTTTTCTCTAGTAGCTCAGCAATAGCTTCTACAGCCTTTCCTTTCACAAAATTGTACGCAGACTCGTCTAAATTACTCATGAAACCGTTGCTGCGTAGATCTTTCCAAACATCATTCTCTGGAACCTAAAAAGATGAGTTGAATATAACTCAGTGCAATGCTCACTATTGACCACACTCTTGAATATAGTTAAAGATAAATCAGAAGCATACCCAAATGGTCCCAGTACCATAACATTCATTACGAGCATAAGCTTCACAAACTTTTCTCTCGAAATGCACAACCTGATCAACAACCAAACACAAAATATTCAAACCAAATAAATTAACTAACAAAAAAAAAAATCTAAAAATTCAATTATCTAGGTAGTACAATTCAATACCAATTTCTTGGTTGATTCACTGATTTCTCCATCTTCTATGCATAAATTCCCTTGCTTTCTGTATCCATGATTACATTGCAATTTTCCTTGGTAACATTCCCCATTAATTGGACATGGTTCACATAAATCTGAGGCAAAGGAAATTGAATTCTAGTAATATCCATGGAATTACACTATTCAAAAAACGAATTGATTATGAATCTCGAGCTTACCCAAGTCTGAATCGATGGACTCAAAGTTACTATCGCAGAAAGATGTAGGGTTTGAGCTCAGATACTTAGCGAGGAAACTGCAGGTAAAAGCCACCACACACGCGACAAGCAACACTATCAGGAGTCTCACGAACTCTTCTTTGGAAGGGAAGAAGTTTTCCGATGGTTCGAGTAATGATCTGATCGGAGAAAGAGAAGATTTAGGGTTCCGTTTTGAGGTTTTGGTCTCCGATTTGGGTCTCTTCCTTGGCATCGAATCCATTTGAGTACATTCAGAAGAACACTAAATTAAAATTGAAAATAATTGTTGATAACAAAAATATGATAATATATGTTTTGAAGCTTAATTAATGGGCTTTTTGCTGATCCATTTTGGGCCTAAAGAAATTTAGAGTCCAGATTATTTCCAAAGAGATCATTCATAATGATTCTTTTAGGAGGATTAGAATCCAATTATGTTTCTTCTAAGAGAGGATTTAGTACAAAAACAATCAAGGGGAAATTGTTTTTTTTTCAATTATTTATGTTAATGTCATCTTCTGTGTTTTCAAATGACCCTAATAGTAATACACAACTTTTCTTGTATAAAAAAATTCAAATAAAATAACTTATTTCAAAGTTATATAAAAAACAAAATATTTATTTTGGTGACGTGAAACCGATATTAAATAATTAAAACGAAAAAACTAATGTAGAACATAATCTATTAGTTACAAAACAGAATTTTTATTTGATAGATTTTTCTATTTGAGAGGTTTTTGAGTTTAGTGTTTACTTAGTAGATAAGTAGAAGATTAAATTGTATAGTAATCCTATGTTTAGTAGAATTTAATTTAACTTATACGCGTTTTTTTTTTTTTTAATCTAACCTATAAAAAGCCTCTCGCCTCAGTAAAAAAAAATATAGAAACTTTTTTCTCATCGCCGTTTTTGTGTTCTTCATCACTCTGCTTCGCGACGAGTGCACTCATCAAAATCGCTCATACAATCGATTAATTCTTCCCCAGGTTAGCTTCTTTGATTTTCTTTCTCCTCTTACGTATTCTTCATGTAATTTCGTTTCTAAACGTCATGTTTCTTCCCTTTTTTCAAGGTTTTTGTCGATCGCAAAAAAATTGATAAACCCTAATAATTCCTGTTCTATGTTGGATAAAACAAACCCAGAATTAGTCAGGTTTTAGTCGGA